CTTCCTTAATGGAGACATTGAGGAAGAAATTTACATGGCGCAGCCGGAAGGCTTCATATCTTCTGGAAGTGAGCAAAAGGTTTGCAAGCTCCAGCGATCCATTTATGGATTGAAACAAGCATCCCGTAGTTGGAACATTAGGTTCGACTCAACTATCAAAGAGTTTGATTTTGAGAAGAATCCGGAGGAACCTTGTGTATACAAGAAGGTTAGTGGGAGGGCAGTGATATTTTTAGTGCTTTACGTTGACGACATTCTACTCATTGGGAATGACGTAGGAATGTTACAACAAACGAAAGCATGGTTGTCCACACGTTTCTCAATGAAGGATTTGGGAGAAGCATCTTATGTATTAGGAATACGCATCTATAGAGATAGAGCGAGAAAGATGCTTGGTTTATCCCAAAGCCTGTACATAGACACCGTTATGAAATGGTTTAGCATGGAAGAATCCAAGAAGGGATCATGAAAATACGTACTACAATTCAAGGACGTGAATGCGCATCAAGTAACGTGCACAAAAACACTCGCTAGAAAAGATACTCACATGAGTAAAAGTTCAAAAGCATGCACAAAAGTACTCAAGCAAAACTGCATTCCCAAAAAGGATCATGAAAACACAAACTACAATCCTAGGACAGTAATACAAATCAACAAACATGCACAAACACGCTCCCTCAAATGGACATGCACAAAAACATACATGTAAAAATACATGCGCAAAAGTGCATCCGAAGCAATCTTCTTAAAAACATGAACTACAATACTATGACTTTAATACGCATCAACAGACAACAGCAAAAACAGTAGATAAAAAAGATACAATGGAGTGTAGCAATAATACTCGACGTTTACGTATACGTGGATTTTTGTTTGGCTTAATTTATATTTCTTTTTTTATTGGTGGATTTGGTATAGGTTTAGGTACAAATCGAAAATTAGGTGTCCATGAAGCAGAAATAATCAAATGGTAAGAAAAGAGTTGCAATTAAGAAAATAAAATCAAATTAGAAGAGAGAATCCCTCAACATCTTTGGTAGTGTCCACGAAGTTGAGCATAACTCTCTCATCCGGTCTCCAAATTGACTGGTTCCGGTGGCATTAGAAAGCTATTTCAATGTGCTACAATTCCCGTCTAACGTCAAAATTCCAAATTCGGACTCGAACATGGTCAAAATTGGATAACAAAATCGATCATGAAAATACGTACTACAATTCAAGGACGTGAATCCGCATCAAGAAACGTGCACAAAAACACTCGCTAGAAAACATACGCACATGAGTAAAAGTTCAAAAGCAGGCACAAAAGTACTCAAGCAAAAGTGCATTCCCAAAAAGGATCATGAAAACACAAACTACAATCCTAGGACAGTAATACAAATCAACAAACATGCACCAACACGCTGCCTCAAATGGACATGCACAAAAACGTACATGTAAAAAAACATACGCAAAAGTGCATCCGCAACAACATTCTTAAAAACACGAACTACAATACTATGACTTTAATACGCATCATCAGACAACTGCAAAAACACTAGATAAAAAAGATACAATGGAGTGTAGCAATAATACTCGACG